TGCTGGTCGCTGAGGAAATACATCAACTTCGTGCTGTCAATCGCCGGATCGGCTTTCACATGGACATGGAACAGTTGTCGTAACATGTGGTTGTGTGTACCATCTCCTTCGTCGAATCCGCCAGGCGCCGCTCAATCAAGCCGCTGTGTGTTTCGTTGTGAAAGCGAAAGTACTTTGTTTGGCCTTCCAAAAGAGGACATAATGTTTCTATAAAGTGGGGCAGTTCCAACTTTGTAAGGACAGTCTGGTGCTTCTGACTCACAGCCTGTAAGTAAATTTTTTTATATTTAAAGAATTTGCCACTGATGATTCTAACGCGAGTTTGAGCAGTGTAGAGTAGCGCTTGATGTTAGTCATTTCTCCGATCACAAATGCAGACATGGTTTTATGTTTACGCTGCGCAATATGCAACGCAAAGCGTAAAAACACAGTATAAGTCATTATAATCAGTAATTATGTCCCCACTGGATGCAACAAATGCCTCGTATGTAATGGATTTTATTGGTTTTGTCTCGTCACACCGGGACACATGGAAACACAGTATGGTAGGGGCGTAACGTTTCCGTCACACGCTTGAGGTATTCAGCCAATCACAACACACTGGATAGCTGGCCAATCAGAGCACACCTCGCTTTTCAGAACGATGAGCTTTGTAAAAATCTCCGTGTTTCAGAAAGGCGGGGCATAGAGTTCAAACAAAAATTTACATTATGTGGAAAATAATGTGTTTTTTAACCTTAAACCGCATAAACACATTGCATTACACCAAATACACAAAATAATGTTATTTTTAGCAGCATCATATGACCACTTTAATGCATTATTCTGCATGACCATATTTTAGAGCCCTTAACCCTACCCCTTACCTAAACTTAACAAATACCTTATTAACTATTAATAAACAGCAAATTAGGAGTTTACTGAGGCAAAATATGTTGTTAATAGTTAGTTAATAGTGAGAATTGGTTCCCAAACTAAAGTGTGACCAAATTTTCTAACATAACATGAACATGAAACCTTGAGCTTGTGTTCACCACAGACCTTATTTCAGGCATTTAATCAAAAACCCATGGAAAAACCTACTGACCTCAGGATGATGGAACAGTACGTGCTAAATGCTCATTTCAAAAATACATCCTCCCTGCGGCCCTCTATAATCTGCATTTATTTCAGAATTATCCCCCAAAACGTAATCTGTCTTTTTTAATAAGTCAGTGAAATAATTGTACCTTGTCTTTGCCTCTGGCTGTACCTCTCCTAAACACTGCAGCGATTTGAGGGCAGGCAGGAGAGGAATTAGGGAAATTACAGCGGGAATCTTGTGTTATTGCCCCCCGGGGCACACATGTTTTTAATCCCTTTTCCGACCTCAGCATGTATTGGCTAAACTGGATCTAATTGAGCTAATCTCCCCAGCCCTGCTGACACTGATATCCGAGATAAGTTTCTGGACCGCGGTCCTTCAGAGACCTGCAGCGAGAGCTGATTCCAGACAGGAGAACCGCGCTATAGACTTCTGCTCACCATAATCCATCTGCATTTTGTGATCTTGAGCTGTTCGGCACAGACTGCGAATGGGAGCCGGCCTCCAGAGGGTTTCAACAGCTGAGTTAAGCTTCGTGAAGAGCAATGGTGACAGCTTTTACTACCCTGCTATACTGAGTATGTCAGCCCATCGTAATAATTTATAAGCAGTGCCCTTGCAGTGGGAGAGCGGAGGGGCTTGTGCCTTTTCAAAAGGAAAACTAGCTTGTGATCTGGGGCTTACACTCAAGATGTGTCATTTTACTCTGTGAGAGCATGACAGCCTGTCATAAGCAGAGTGACATTTCATGAGTCATTCTACTGTATGTGTGAATATGGTAAATAGTGCTGCAAAATGGTACAAAATGCCAATATCTGCTTTGTGAAGAATTTGATGCAATTGCCAGGAGGATTTATGTGTCTCTGTAATGATTGAATATGAACATGCACGTTGTTTGATTAGTCTCAGA